TCAATGTTCGTATTGAGTAATGGAAGGTATATATTATTATTATTATTAAAATGTACCTGTGTTTATCTATATATGAAAATGCGTAACTGTCAAGCTGTACCAACAGATCAGAAATATGTACTAATTTTACTACACTTTTGTTTTGTACATGTGGGGGGAGTCTTATGGCATATAAATTCTTCAAATTGAGTCAGGAGTTTAAGAGCAGACTATATTTTATAATGGCCTTTTAAGTTATTGTGGCCAAAGCACTGATATTATATATTTGCTGTAAAGAGAATTTAAGAGTTTTATTTTTTTTATATTAAAGTTCCTTATTAAAGACTGTTTCATTTAAAGCCATCCAAGCCTCTTGTGGTTCATTCATTTTTTCCCAGCAACAGTCACAGCACCAAAAGTTGCCATTTGTTGCAATAATGTGTTTAATATCTATTAAAAAAAATCATACTTTTTCTTGTATTTTTTTTCCATCCATCCATTTTCATCTGCTTATCCGTTACCGAGTCGCGGGGGCAGCAGTCGCCACCCAAATCACATTGCACCGCACCAACCCCCCTAAACCTTCCTGCGGGTGGTGAGTCCACTGAAAGGTACCAACCGCCCTAACCAGGATTCGATCTTGCCTAGGAGGTGAACCCTGGGGTTCCACACCAATGACAGAGACATTGCCTCTGTGCCAAAGCGCCACTTGTATTTGTTTTATTAGATGAAAAAAACTAAGGGCCATCTGTGTCAATTAAAATACGTTTTTTTTACTTTAATATACATCCAGCACATTTGTTTTTGAAATAGTTTATTCCATTACAACTGCAAGTATTATATAAGCTCACACTTCTTTTTTAAACAAGCAGTGAAACAAAGTCCTGTGCTTCGGTTGGTTTTCCTGAGAGAAAATGAAAAAATTACAAGCAATATTAAACAGATTAAATTATACACCCAGCTGTAGGCCCCTGGCACATCAAATCCTTGTGTAAAGGTCAGTTGTAAAACTCCTACAGTTAAGGATCATATTAAAAATGCTGTGAGAAAATTGTTGATACTTATATGCAGGACAGACAGAGACCTACAGGTGTGCGGACATTACCTACCCCTGCTTTAACATCAGCACAGACAAACAACTCCTTATCCATCCATCACATAGGCTGCTTGTGGTTAGATTCTCACAGGCTGATTTGATTGCATTAATAATTATTATTATTAATAGAGTAGATGTTTACACACCAACTTGAGTAACCAATAATTATGAAAGAAAAAGAGAAGTTGCCAACAAATGGATCAGTAAAATACAAAATGGTTGATGAAGTGGGTAAAATTATACATATTCAATTCACATCTCATATTTGCATTGTTTTCCCCCAGCATCTCAATGTTACATTCAACAGTTGGTGAAATAAGAAAGCCAAAGTTTCCTTTTTTAAGTAGTTTTTGAGTCTCAAAATATCAATACAAGTCTAATGCAATAGAAAATGGCTCCTTGTGGGTTTTATCTTTATTCTGCTCAGCTGTTCTGTTTTTTCTTATGACTGCATAAACATGCTGAGGTTTGTCTTATTGGAAAACAGGTCAATGTTGCATAGCACATGTACAGATATTCTGAGCATATTATATCTGCACCTTTATCACCATTCTGTTAAATCTGGGTTAGCCTTGAAGTCACTATAATTTAGTGTATTTACTGACCCTACTTTAAGGTCACGAAAACAGTGTTGTATTCTCATGGATCATTGGTTGTTCGGAACCAATTCAATTAAATATATCATATAGCAAACAAACAGTGATATTTAAGAAGTGAAATGAAGTTTATAGGATTTACAGAAATTGTGCAATAATTACTTAAACAAAAGTAGGCAGGTGCATAAATTTGGGCACCCCAACAGAAAAATTACATCAATATTTAGTAGATCCTCCTTTTGCAGAAATAACAGCTTCTAAACGCTTCCTATAGCTTCCAATGAGGGTCTGGATTCTGGTCTTTACAAAACATCTCCAGTTCAGTCAGGTTTGATGGTTTCCAAGCATGGACAACCCGCTTTAAAACAGACCACAGATTTTCAATGATATTCAGGGCTGGGGACTGAGATGGCCATTCCAGAACGTTGTACTTGTTCCTCTGCATGAATGCTTTGGTAGAATTTGAGCGGTGTTTAGGGTCGTTGTCTTGTTGAAGTATCCAGCCCCGGCGCAACCTCAACTTTGTCAGTGATTCTTGAACATTGTTCGCAAGAATTTGCTGATACTGACTGGAATCCATGCGACCTTCAACTTTAACAAGATTGCCAGTACCTACACTGGCCACACAGCCCCACAGCATGATGGAACCACCACCAAATTTAACTGTGGGTAGCAAGTGTTTGTCTTGGAATGCTGTGTTCTTCTTCCGCCATGCATACCGCCCCTTGTTATGTCCAAATAACTCAATTTTAGTTGTTTTAGTTGTTCAGTCCACAGCACCTTATTCCAAAATGAAGCTGGCTTGTCCAAATGTGCTTTAGCATACCTCAAGCGACTCTTTTTGTGGCATGGGCGCAGAAAAGGCTTCTGCCGCATTACTCTCCCATACAGCATGTCCTTGTGCAAAGTGCGCTGAATAGTTCAACGATGCACAGTGACACCATGTGCAGCAAGATCATGTTGTAGGTCTTTGGAGCTGGTCTGTGGGTTGAGTTTGACTGTCTTGCTGCGACTGACCTTCAATCGTTTTCTTTCTAGTGCAAACCTCGACCTCTCTAGCTTCTCTTCTAGCTGCTGCCTACTCTCACTACAGGTTACAACTCTGTACATCACCCTTCTTATGAATTGGCACCATAACCTAGTCAGGAAATTTACCGCCACTTCTCCTAAACACTTACACCATACTTCCACTGGTATGTTATCGGGACCAACTGACTTTCCACTTTTCATCCTTTTCAGGGCTTTTCTTACTTCATCCTTTCTAATCTGATCTACCTTCTTCCCAATAGTCTCTGGTTCCTCATTTCTACTTTCCCTTTAATTTTCCTTATTCAACAACTCCTGAAAGTATTCCTTCCATCTTCTCAGCACACTTTCCTCACTTGTGATTACATTCCCCTCTCTGTCCTTAATCAACCTCACCTGCTGCACATTCTTCCCAGCTTGAGTTCTCTGTCTCGCTGTAAATAGAATTAGTAGTTAGTTACCAAAGTGTGTTAAACCAAAGTGTGGTGAACCATAAACTGTTATCTGTGTTAAATAATGGTCTGCTTGACAGGAGTAGGTACTCCTAAAAGGTTTTTTACAATGTAGGTACATAAAGGATGAGGTCTGTTTCTCATCAAGTATGGGAATCGGATGAACTTTGCCCTGGGAGTAAAACTTAAAGAAAAAAACAACTGCCCAGTACTTGTGAAACTTTCTCAATAAAAGGAGCTGCAGTCCTCATACACTTTGGGACTTAGGTGAGCCAACTCTGCGAAGCTGTTGGTCTCTCTGCTCCCCCTTGCAGCGAGTAAAAAGTACAACGTTGTCAGGTGTGGTTCTTTTCAGGTCATTCTATCTGCGGCAGTTAGATGACAATAGTGGTGACTGAATAACGTAATTTTCGGCACCAACAGTGCCCAAACGTTTTCATACCACTGTATAATGAAGCAGCAAATGAATCTTTATTTTATATGAATATCTCTGGAACATTGCTTAATTGTGTGTGTAACACAGCAGTGAACTGCAGTTTCAGTCTCACAACCTTCCTCAAAGGTCAGTTCTCTGTGGAATGCAGGTTAAGTACATCCTTAGTTTTAAAAGTCAAGGATTGAAGGGAGTAATTGATTTGTCCAAGTTCATGCAGGCACTGACCTGCAGCTAATAAAAACCCAGATATTCACATGGATCAGTAAAAACAATAACATTGAGTTAAAAGAAAAACGAAATCTGTGGGGCTGAGGGAAGGAAAAAAAGATCTACAAAAATGTGTCTCACTCTTAGGAGACATTTGTAAAGGTTTTACCTCAGTCTCATGCCCATCAGTGGCAGTAGCTGCTGGTAAAGTGTGATGCTGAGTCGTCTGTGTTCACAGCCCACTGTGTGGATGCTGTGATGCAGCATGTCTGCAGTGATAGATAACGATGTTCTGGTCATGGTTGACACATCATAATACATGACTTTGCTTCTGATGGTGGTTCTCCTGAACTGTCTCTGGTTTAAGGTGTATGTCCAGAGTTTACACACACCATAAACTGACTTTTAATAAAAAAGTAGGGTAGAGATACCTTTTGTACATTCTAATACATCTATCTATCTATCTATCTA